CCGGCGCCGCCGCGGGGGGCGGCGGCCGGCCACGGGCAGCGCCGAGTGTGCCATCTGCTTGGGCGCCTTCGAGTGGGGTCAGGCGCTCAAGATCCTCTCCTGCTCCCACACCTACCACGGCAAGTGCATCGACCTGTGGCACTGCGCGCAGCCCCGCGGCAAGACGTGCCCACTCTGCCTGCGGCGCGTCACCGCCGTGGCGCTGGTCCCCCTCCGCCCTGGCCCACACACCCGCCTGGAGAAGCGAGGGGGACACCATGGCCTGTGGGAATAACCATGAAGACTCATCCCCATCTTCCTCCTGGCAAATCAAGACTCCCTCCTTCATCACCACTGCGCTCCCTTCTCCATCCTCGCCACTACTCTAGCTCCAGTCTCTCGGGAAGCATCGAGTGCGGCCAGATCAAAACACTTGGAAACGAAGGAGCAGGGAATAAAGCCTGAAAGGACAAACAAAACACTTGAGCAAGTTTTGGGTTGCTCATCCAATCCAGGCTGGTTTCCAACCAGAAGGGCCACAACCATGGAGCCCCAAGCGGTAACATGGACTAGGGGCTGCCAAGCCTGTTGCTGGCCTTGCTCCTCCTCTCCCTCCTAAGCCTCCAAGAACAGGCTCGGTACCAGTTACCAAGTAACTTTTAGCACAGCATTTAGGCCGATAAAACACTTTCCTCCATATTCAGATTTTCACACACACAAAGCCACACAGAGGACATTTTTGCTTGGTGCCTAATGTTTACCAGGCATTTTGCCAAAGCTGGAAAAGGCAAGATATTTCCCGCCCCAGTGTCCCATAAAATATATGTCTCCCTTGCTTGCATGGCAAGCAGCTGGAGCCCATTTCCAGCAATGGGCAAAGTTGCAATGGCCCAGATTTGCTCAACTGACTTTAATTGTAGGCGCTAGCAGATTATGGGTACTTTGTAGCAGGTCCATAAATGCTTTATAATCTGCTGTATGCACTAGAGCCCAGATTATCATGCTCGTACTTAGTAATAACACAGAGGAGGGATTGCCCAGACCCTTGGGAAATCCAGGCCGAACACCTGGGCAGGCACCAGGCCGAGGGGGATGGAGCACGCGGCAGGGCTCCCCGGACCGGCTCTCCATCCCTCTCCCCTTAGTGCTGGCTCTGGTGCTCTCGAGCACCTTCAGCAATTTGCCTGCATCTGCTCTTGCTTCCTCTCATCCGCGCACACTCAAACAGCACTGCACAAAACCTCTCCGCATACGCAGCTCTTTCTCAGCTATCTGGCTCGCGTTTTGGGCTGTAGCTCCAATTGTTTCAGCTATCTATTCCATAAAAACACGGTCCTTTGATCCTAGATGAAAGGAGATGGTTACATGCATCAGTTCCTAAAGCAGCTTCTAGAAGGAGAAAACGTCTGCGGTTGCTTACAGGGCACAGGGCTGCTTCCCTGCAGAGCCGGGCCTTGCTCGGGCAGCAGGAGGGAGCAGAAGTGCCCCCAGGGCTGCAGCAAGAACAACTGGGAGCACTGGGAGCACAGAGGTTTGCACTGGAAGGTCACTAGATGGCCCCAGATCATCTTTCCCAGATAATCCCTGGTAATTCAGTAGCCTGGTCCTCACTAATCCTACAGCATGACCCCGAAGGAGCAGCATGCCTTTTTGAAGGGGGTTTTCTGAGCTAGGAACACCTGCCAAGATGCCTCAAGCAAAGCATTTAACCCCCGCTCTTGCTTTCTCCACTCCTGGCCTTTGGCTGTTCACAGCAGAACCTGTGCAATGCCCACTGCCCACAGACCTGATACAGAGAGGACAAGGGCTAGTATTTACAAACTCACATCATAGCCCTCTCGGGCTGCTCTTCAAGCTGCAAAAACCTCCAAGGGAAGGAAAAGAAAAAAAAAAAAAAGAAAAGCTGTACAGACTTATTGCAAGTTAAATCAATGCTGGAGCAGAGGCCAGTAGTACATGTTCTGCTGGAGTTGCAACAACGTCCACCTGAGTCAGTCCTTCTGCATCTTAGTTTGAACTGCTTCAGAA